AGTGGTAAAACCTCAAACCCCCATTGTGTTCTAAGGAAGTGATTGAAGAAAACGAAAATATAAGAACAAAAAAGAGTGAAACGTTATCACCAAAATAATTTATTATATATTATTTTATTTGATCATCTATACATCATCAGCACTATCATATGAAATTATTTCCATGGGAAACATTTACGCTTTTTTTTACCAAGTCTGCATGGACCATCAACTTTAATAGACCAATCGCATGTATAACATATATCTTGATCTCTCTCAGCTTCGAATATATTAAACCATTTGACCTGATTGTTCCACTCGAAACTGCAATAGAACATTGTTGATTTCCATATATTTGTTTGAAATTGAAAGTGGTAATTTGCATTGGAAGGCACCTTGTGAACCCCCAAATCATCATCTTTGGATTTGCAATGAACGGTAAGAAGTGGACCGCCAAGAGAATTTGTCATCGTTACGATGGTAGGTGGCCAAAATGGTTTAAGACCATTGCTCGAACCAAGTAAAAGAAAGATGAACAAAAAAGCAATAGAAAGATTTGGTGGATTTCTCATTTTTTTATTTTTCTTTGTATGTCTAAACTTGAAAGTAAAAAAATTGCTATTGGAGTCGAATTTATTTAGTAACTCGGAACATTTTGGTCAAAACACAATATTCTTTTGCAGGTTTTTGGGGTCAAAACACATTTTTGTTTTTATCATATGTTTTCAACTCTAATTACCAAATGAAGAAGCAAATCAGTCAAATGAGCATTTATTCAGGTTATATCCGTTTCTTGTGTGAAATATAATATTCTTCTGTAAAAAAACTCATTTCTTTTTCAAATTTACAGGATCACTACCAGGCGACGCCCTGCAATTTTCATAATATATATAGTAACTGGGAACATTTTGGTCAAAACACAATATTCTTTTGCAGGTTTTTGGGGTCAAAACACATTTTTGTTTTTATCATATGTTTTCAACTCTAATTACCAAACGAAGAAGCAAATCAGTCAAATGAGCATTTATTCAGGTTATATCCGTTTCTTGTGTGAAATATAATATTCTTCTGTAAAAAAACTCATTTTTTTTTCAAATTTACAGGATCACTACAAGGCGACGCCTTGCAATTTTCATAATATATATACATTGTACACATGCCGATCCTAAAAAATCCAAGGCCACAAGCCAAAATCTAAAATGGGCCTCTTACATATAGGGAGAATCGAACTCTTGACATCTAATTCAGCATAGAAAGGGTTTTACCAACTCTACTGAAGACATTTTTGGTAAATTTAAGAGCAAAAAAATACATAAGAGAAACAAATAAAAAAAATGGGCCGCAAGGCCGGCCCTGATTGTACATACTTAAAACAAGTTTATATTTACAAACTTAAAATTATAGAAAGTAAAATCAACAAGCGACGCACTGTAGAAAACGGGGCCAACACATGGATCTGGTCGGATAATTGGATTCCCGATGACTCTCCTCGACCAGCTCGGAGTGCGGGTCCTTACCCAAATCCGAATCTCTGGGTTGTGGACCTCATTGACGATGTCTCTAAAACCTGGAATATGCAAGCCTTCAACAACATATAGTACCAGAAGATATTGCCCTCGTCCTCTCCATGTGTCCTTCACGAGTGGGGACTGCGGATGGATACTGCTGGCATTACTCAAACTCAGGGATGTACACGTTACGCTCAGGTTATGAACTAGCCCATAAAAACTTGGTTGACGAACTTAGATTTTCTCTTCAACAACCATCCCTGAACCCCCTCAAGGAGAAAGTGTGGAAGGTGAAAACATTAAATAAGATACGACATTTCTTATGGCAAGCCCTTTCCTGTGCGGTGATAGTCAATGAACGCCTCGCGCATAGACACCTTCAAAGGGACTGACAGTGCCCC